GCATAAGTGTTTGCCATCCAATTTTAAAATTCCTCCAATCGTGAAGTGTGCCACAATTGATCTGTAAAACTTACAATTCTTACTTTGTTTTGTCTGATCTATGAGATTATCATAAATTCAACAGGGAATGCTAGAAAAAAAATTAGAGTTTCAATTGACATCGCAAGGGGTGTGTCTTTTTGTCGCAATTTATAGTTTCATTTTGAAAAAAGATTGAATGGTCTGAAGGGAGACAAAAAGTTATAATAACCTGTTATTTTATGACACAAAAGATTCAGAAAGAGGAGAGCCATATTTAATATCGATTCGAGGTCCAGATGTCCGAAGTCAGTCACGTCAGGAAGTTTAGTTCGGTTGAAATTTAACTCCGACAAGCGGATTAAGCTTCCCAAATCGAGAGATGATCTATATCTTTTGTGTAAATCCATTTTCAATACAATGTTTTGAAATCAGCTGTTCATGAAAGTTTAGTCATCTAAATAAGACGGGTTCCAGTCAGTATTCAACTCCAGGGTAGCTCGTGAAGAAAAGTGTACTGCGGCAGAGGGAGTGGACATGAAGATGCAATGATGTTTTTGAACGTCATAATAATCAACAGCGATAGCACCTTATGATCATATAAAGTCTTATTTTAATGATAAACTGGCAAGCTAAAATTATCAACACGTCTTAAATATATTTTTTATTTTATGTCCCTTTTAAATTCAGTAAAGCAGATGAATAAAGGGATTGAAACTAATTTTATTCTATATACAGCGACTAAATATGTAAATATACATATCTAAACATATATAGAAAAATAGGAAGAATTGACAAAATAATGTGTAAACTTGCGTCTCACACTTTATATATTGATTGTGTTTTAGAGTCCATGCACTAAAAATCAAAATCATGCAGTTCGTTTATTGTTGTTTGTTTGTTTTTGTTTTTTTTTTTTTTTTTTTGTTTTTTGTTTTGTTTTTTTTTTTTGTTCCTGCTGGGCTTAATAGCTGTTCTTCCTGCTGACGTAGGAGATGACGTAAAAAAGGCATCAGAGATTGTAAAAACCGGAAGTGAAGCCACCAATGCTCTTACCAAAATAGTGGCTGAGGTTAAGGTCCTAGCTAAATTCACTAAAATAACAAAATGTCAACACCTTGTCATATCGATTACACAAGTTAATAAAAGATCCAAAAGGAAGCTGTTTAAGGTCAAAGATTACATTTAATCACAGAATTTAAGATCAGTCGTGCGGTAAAAACAATATATTCCGACATTATGACCAAACAATCCTTCACAGACAACATTCCACATGAAACAATGGCATATACAAATTACGATCGCAAAAAGATATCAAAGGTAATGGTTGGATGCGTGGGACTTCTTATGACAGCTCTGGAGGTTATCAAGCCTATTTGAAGCTCACGAATAGAAAAGCAAGCTATAAAAATGGAGAAAGGAATGGGAGAAGACATCAAGAAAGTTCTACAAAAAGTCATGTGAATATGCAAGTCACTAATGCATGGGAAAGTCAGAAGTTTGGATTTGGAAGGCTTATCTGCACAGTACAAAAAAGCTAGCCACGGACCGTTTGCAAAGCGTTTGTTTGAATTCTTCTCAAAGAGATATTACGGAGGGATTTGGTCGTCATCGTATACAATAAAATATATAATAAAATCGTGGACTGGAAAGAATGGGTAAGATTTCAAACTCTGTGGAGGAGATAAATACTTTGGAAAGGACGGAAGATATTTGTTAACATCAAGCGTACCAAACGGAAAAGGCAAGATAAACACATACTATTACAAAAAAGAATTAAGTTACAACTGAGAGGGTGGTGTTATTTATACATTATGCTTGGACACCAAAGTCTGTTCTAGATCAGATTAAAAAGTTAAGCGGATTGAATGTGTGCACACATTCAAGCAGTCATTTCTGACCGTGAGAGAATTCATGCCGAAAATGCCACTAGTTGCTTAGTCAGCAAAATACTTCTGCAATATGTATGTTTTTGGCTAAAATGCACAATGCATGCATTTTACCAAATAAAGTATTAAGCAAACAAAATTTTAAAGATATTTCTACAGAGAAAAAATGTCAAGTAGTTCCACCTGCATTTAGTCTTTATTACTCGTACACTTATTCGATTGGCCATTCTGGTAGAATAAATCATGTCAGTTTTGTGTTATCATCTGAAAACACATTTTATCTTAGTTTCGTGTTTTGTTGATTAAATTGTGCAAAAAAAAAAAGAAAAAGAAATATAGGCCCCATTTTGCCAAGACTGTAACTATACAGAAATCACATTTTCCTATAATTGATCATAAAACCACTAGCTTTCCTTAAATACAAAACAGTACCATGCAGAAAGATTTTAAACTTGTAGATGCTTGTAGATGCTCATTGGTTCTACCAATTTATATCTTCCATTTCAACATTGAAAATAATGTTAACGGCACAATGTTTAAGAAATATGAGCTGCATTTTGGAGAATTTTATTTTGTTGTTAAAATGAGATTTTATGATAAATTTGAATGTAATTTAAACCTTCTTCATCAATTAGACAGAAAAAAATATCAAATCATCAATCATGAGAAATGAATTAAGGATTCTGTACAATCAAATATGTAGTATCATATAAGAAATTAATATTGTACAGGAGGACAATAATGTAATTTTTCTTCAATCAAAGCTTATAAATAGTTCTTCCATCACAAATATAACAAAAGATGTTAATAAACGTTCCTTTTCTCTGTCATTGAAATAGTTAATTACAATTTTGCAACAAAAATTTCTGAATTCAAAGTTGCAGCTCATATTGCTTTAAATGAACTTTCTTATTCAAAATATGTGGAGCACACTCGAGGTTTACCTTGCTGAATTGAGATTCACAAACCAAGTGCAGCAATGTCTTTCTAATGATTAAATGACTCAGAAAAATGCTTTTTGTATGATAATGTTTACAACGCTAGATCACCTATCTTTTTATTAAGGTTGTGATTTCTATTATCATTTCGTTTTAAATATCGCTATCACAGTAAACACGATACATGTAAGTATAATAGTGAAAAAAGCGGGCTAACCACATAATTAAGCTATATCTCACCAGCTTAATGTTCTTCAATATGTTAACATTTGTCAAATTTAAAATTGGAACAGCATAAATTATTTCGTAGGAATCTAAGCGTTTGTTATTAGAATTTTAGGTTGAAGGGCGTCATAGTATATGGCTGCCTTCTTCAAAATGATCTTTGTCTACGTTTAGGTCATAAATTTATGAGCGTTATTCCATTTGTAAGTGAAAACAATTTTAAGTAAGAAATGATTGAGGCTAGGAAGTACAGAATTTCAACCATGAGCATCAAAAGTAAATAATATTAACAAATTGTCAAGAAAAGCTTGATTTATCAGGCACTTGTTCAAGTCAGCCCTCCCCCCCCCAAAAAAAAAAAATACCTGAGTCTGATTAGTTACCGTATACATGGTAGGCTCTTCATCGAACTTCACATAGAGACTAAAAGCACTGCTTTATCGAAGCTTAATATTGTATAGTTAAAATTAATATAAATATTGTTTTCTATGGATATAGTATACGTTTAGCATACATAAAACGTGAAACTGTGGAATAATTATATTTTGTGGTGTTCAATATTTGTGGGTACATCTAACACTCGCCACAAATTTAAAACCTCCTCTAACATAAAAATTCAAACTATTTCTTTCATCACGAGAATTTTTCCACAAAATTACATTCTCATGAATCGTTAGTGTTAAGCAATCCATGAAAATTTGCCCATACATATTATTCTTATTTCATGGAATTTAAAGATCTAAAATATAAAATACAATTTGATATAATAATATTGTTATAGAGATTCAGCTTTTTAGTTACCTCTGTTTTTAATTATTTCACAGTAATTAAAGATTTGAAGTATAAAATATCATTTATTAATATTGTTATAGAAGTTCTTAAAAACAGTTTTCTGGTTGCCTCTGTTTTTTTCTTCTGTTTTGCTTTGTTTTGTTTTATTTTGCTTTTTGTGTGTTGCGTGTTTTGTTTTCTTCTTAACAAATGAAGAAAAAATATGTTTACGAGGGCTGTTTGGAAATTATTGAGACATTTATCTTTACTCCTTAAAGAACAGAGATAAATTCATGAACATTCGTCAACATTTTATAAAGAACAAATAAAGCAAATGTGCAAAATTTCTAATTTATAGAATAATTAGAAAAATTCCGGTGAAATTATAAACATGCATGTGTCTATTGACCTGGAGCAGCATCGCTACCTTATTTTAACGTCACGTCAGCTGGAGACGTTTTCTCATGTGAAACGATCAGGAAGCTTTTACTCTTCTTTCTCTGATATCACATAGAACATTCCAAAAATCAAACTTCTCTTTTCTTAAACGATTCTTTAAATAAAATAGATAAAATGTGTAATGTTGCTACCCCAGTGTGAAATATACATGCAGTGTCATATACGGGTCGGCTTAGCATCCTGCAGTACCGATTTATGCAACGCGGGTCAACGTTATTTTGTCCGTAATTATTAATGGTGGTTTGGAGAGTTTGTTCTTACTCCGGTTGAATTACTTGTAAGAAATAATATATATCAAATGAAAAAACAAACCCTTAGACATGTTTTTCTCATTGTTATTGTTTTAGCAGGTAATTAAGTCTGGAAGAGTTCCTAATAGCTCTACACAAAATTTTAAATATGCTCGCTGCGCCGCCTTGACGTCAAAATCCATTTTGTCATCGTTGTTAGATTTCTTTACCGCTTAATTTTTTTTATAATATCCGTATTTCTGATCGAAATTCTATCAAACTTGCACAAAATGAAGTCAAAATTAAATTGAAAAATTATATACATGAATTAAATTATTTTCAATCTTACTATAGATCCACCGTGAGTTTGAACGTTGATGTTATATATTTTCAATATCTGATTTCGTGACTGCGCCGGGTACCTCGACCATGGATACATTAATATAACATTGAAAAGAAGATATAAAATATTTTTGTAAAATATTTCTTGCTTTTATTAATTCTTAGTGTTTGTCAAATATATATGCAAGTTTTCAACGAAAAACGTTCATTAAAAAGAAGAATATACACAATGTCTCAATGGTTTCCGAACAGGTCTCGTATATTGTTATATCCCCTTCTGGATACATCCTCATCTTCACTAGAATCAGTCGGCCGCATAGTCTGGCACAGGCTCTGGTAGCCATTTATCATTATAATACCTAGAGGGATTTCCGGTGTTTCTAAAAGGCTTATGGCAACGTGAGTTTACAGGAATATTTCTGGATGAAGAAAGGGTAACCCTAGGCCTGGGTAAAATAAACCTGCTGTTTTGAATTGGTGCATTACGAGGAAATTTTGAGATGGCTGAAGAAAACGCTTTATGAATGGAGTTAACTGTAGAGGGGTTATAAAACCTTCTGTCATCATGCACATCAGCTGCTACACGTAGCTGTGTGGGAGGGTTACAAAATCTTCTGTCATGGTGCACATCAGCTGCTACACGCAACTGCGTGGGAGGGTTATGAAACCTTCTGTCACCATGCACATCAGCTGCTACACGTAGCTGTGTGGGAGGGTTACAAAATCTTCTGTCATGGTGCACATCAGCTGCTACACGCAACTGCGTGGGAGTGTTATGAAACCTTCTGTCATCATGCACATCAGCTGCTACAAGTAGCTGTGAGGGAAGGTTATGAAACCTTCTCTCACCATGCACATCAGCTGCTACACGTAGCTTTGTGGGAGGGTTACAAAACATTCTACCATCATGCATATCAGCTGCTACATATAGTTGCGTGGGAGGGTTATGAAACCTGTCATCATGCACATCAGCTGCTACATGTAGTTGCGTTGGAGGGTTATGAAACCTTTTGCCACCATTCACTGCTACATATATACTATCAGTGTTTAAATGTGAACCTGAAGGTGGATCATTAGGCATGAAATTGGTATCTTGTACATCCTGCATGAAATCTCGAACGTCTAAGCTTCTCGTAGAAGGAATAGTAGCTCGATATTCATTTCCTGAAAGAAAAAAAAATCCTATTATCAGTGTCATCTCAAGTATATAGAGCATTCAATTCTCTTTAAACGGCCAAAAAAAATTATGAAATAACTATAGTACCCCTCCTCTCGCTTCTTTTAACCTTGTATATTTGATTATCCAGTGGACATTTTATTTTCTCATACTGGAATGTCTTTGCTAATTGAATGAGGCACGCATTGCAGACGATATGACCACATGGCATTATCATAGGTTGATTTTGTTGATCGTTAAAGTTTTCAAGGCAAACAAAACACTGATTTCCATCTTCTATAAAAACATTCCTAGTCGTTTCTTCTGCCTCGTCCTCAAAGGAGAGTAGAGAGGGTGTCTTTGCTGGGCTTGACTTGGTGGGATTCGAGTTGTACCATAAGAGATTTCCCTCAACGCTTGTAGGTAAAAATCGTCGGGACGACGGCATCGGCAACAATTTGATCCCATAGATCTGGAAATACGTAACATCACTGTTATTTCTTTTTCAAAATATCAAATTCTAGATTTGCAGAATAAATACATGCATATGCCATATGAATGTGAAAGATATAGTAATTAAATTAAATTGCTGGTTTTGATGCAAAATCAATGGTGTACAAAATAAAGAAATTTGAAAGAACGATAGGCTAATCTACTCTCCAAATAGGAAATGTTAAGATTTATTTATTTATTTATTTATTTATTTATTCATTCAAACCTGTTAATGACCTGGAGTTGCAGAATCTCTGTGTTTTTTTCTGCTAAGTCAAATCATCCTAATATATTGTAGATTCATATTTGGTGTGTTAACGATAGTATTGTCGGCCGTGAAATATATGGAGATTACGAACAGTATTCAAACTCAAAAGTCCATTAAACAATTCAAATTTTTGAGCAGAGCAAACACGGACCTCTAAAACTTCAGAGGTGGGATCAGGTGCCATGGAGGAGTGAGCATCCCTTGCTATGTTTTTAATTCAAAGACAACTTTTGAAAGTTAAAATATTTACATGACTTTTATACTTACCTGGATATTTATATGAATTTTCACAAAACATAACTTATTAGGAAAACAATGAGATAGAGGGATAGCTCTAAAATTTTAATAAAACTTCTTTTTTCACTTTAGAAATCAACGGAAAATATTTTTAAAACATCTCCATTCCACACAACTCCCTCCCCCTGTCCCACGTGAAACAAAAATTCTTTTTAACAGAAACCATGAATAGTTATATAACAAATTACACATACCAAAGCTTTTGTTGTTTCACGGGGTAGGGGGCATGATTACAGGCAAATATGACCGACAATGTACATCACAATGAGTTAACAATTAAAAAAATTACTTTTTTATTTAACATGAGACGAACATATGGGAAAAATTAAGGGTCACCTATTCATATTAAGCGGTATTTAAAATTTGGTAATTTTTAAAGCCTCGGTTTAATAGATAACATCGTCAACCTAGCTTACACTGTAAAAAAGATTATAATTAAGAACAATTATAAATCTGGCATTGGTATTAAAATTATTAATCAATTACTACCGATGTCATTTTACATTTAAAGAGGTTTAAATGGCCAAAATGGCATAAATGTTGAATTAAATGGGTGTAACATGTAGGCGGAAATCGAGAGTTAGCGTCCGTAGTTCTGTATTGCAAAAAAGGTGTTTGTGAAACACTGATGCTTTCGTAAGGCAGCTCAAGGCCATGTTAAGAGTTTCAAATGTAGTACAAACTCTAAGGTTAAGAGTTCAAAAACTATTGGTTTCCAAAGAAAGGTCTTTCCACAAGGAATACACAAGTAGCACCAACCATTCAAAAATATGGCCAAGGTTAAATTTTTCAAATGAAAGACACATCCCAAGGTCTAGATCATCAAAAATAGAGATACCAATTTAAAGAAAAGCTCTTATCACATGGAATACATAAGTGAAATATGAAACCCCTAGCACCAAACATTCAGAAGTTATTGGCAAGTTTAAAAGTTTTAGCGGACAAACAAACAGATTAGCAAACAGATAAAAAGACAGTCGGAGAGAGCAAAAACTATACTATCCGAATCTTTGATTATGGGGGCATAAAAGAAAAAAATCAACTACTTTTAAAGTTAAGGACATAAGAAATGAATGAAGCAGTTCTTGCAAATTGCACACAGCTCATATCACACATTGTACACCTTTCAAATGTGATTTTAGTTCCTCCTTAGTTCTTAATTCATGGAAGAAACAAAAAACGAGGGTCCTAATAAATGGTGGATGTATACCAGAGAGATTTGGGTTATTTAGTTATAAAAGTAATTCCTGGACTATATCCGTTGTTCAAGAGTAAACGGGGAAGAAGGAATGTTTGTGGTTAATACAGTAGCGGCGCTGTGGGGCCGTAATACAACGTAAACGAGAATTGTGCCGTATATTCCTTATTTTCTTCCAATATATAGTCCAAGAACTGGTAAAATCAGATTTCCGAATTTATTATAGACGATGGTAAATAACAATGAACATAAATTTCAACAATAGCTTTCAAGTCTTAATCGAGTTGGATGTTTCCGGTAGAGAATCGGGCCTTCAAACTGAAGTAGGTATAATGGACACAGCTTTTTGTTAGATAGAGAGTAAACAATAATTGCATTATGACACTGGCTGAATTAATTGATGGGCAGGTGTGTTTCTTTGATAGAATGGACATAAAAGACATTGCTAAATAATAATATAAACAAAGTTATTGGTATAATATTAACAGGTCCTGGGGCATTTACATACCTAATGGGTATCAATTCTTTTGACAGTCACTTAAAAGTCAATTGGAATGTCCTAATCCTGCTTCAAAGAGAATGAGACACAATCAACTAAATAATAGACATACAATGATAATAGATAGAGAATTTAACAGATAAACGTTCAAATTTAGTATAATATATTAAAAAGTTATTTATTTCAAAAATATTAATTTGGCTCGGTGATATCTTTATGAAAACATTCCTAAGTTTGTGAAATTCAAGGCTTTTTAGTAGTGAATAGATCTGGATAGAAAATACATGTATTTCACTGGCGATATTGGGTACCCTATGTAAGGGTACACCAATACCCAATATTTTAGGTAGTCAAATTAAAGCGGTCTAAAGGAATGTGACGCAAGCGTGTTGCTGCCAGTTAAAAATATTATTTGCTATGAACAAAGAATACATTAAGTCGTACAAACGAAATACTACGTCATACGTACGAGATAAGTCTCAGTTTGGAGATAGTATGTCGTACGAACGAGATGATATCATATATTAAACGAAACAGACTTAGTCAATCATACGACATAAAAAGTCGTAATTACAAGATAACAAATTATACAAACGACATGATTAGTCGCAATAACGAAATAATATTAATAAGTTGTAAATAATATTTTTTAAGTGGCATCAATAGGATTTGAAAAGATTTCTTGTTAATAAGAAATTCAAGTCCGATCCAGGAATTTGGGAAGGTGGTCAATATCCGCCCACAAAATCGAGCTCAAAAAGTCCATGACCAAGGAAAAAGGAAAATATCAAATCAAAAGATTACAAAACTTGAAATTCTGTGTGTGTGTGTGTGTGTGTGTGTGTGTGGGTGTGAGAGAGGGTGTGTGTGTGTGTGTGTGTGTGTGTTTTCTTTTTTTTTTTTTTTGGGGGGGGGGGGGATTCTGGTTATTCAAACTAAATATCCCGTACATACGACTTTTGTTAGTATATGTCATTCTTACGACTTATGATCTCGTTCTTACAACTTGTTATCTCGTACGTAAGACTTTTTATTTTGTTATTATCATGACTTATTTTCTCCTTATTACTACAGTGTACTAAGTATGTCGTTTAATAGTTCGACTTATTATCTCGTTATTAAACCTTATGATTTTTCTCGTTATTACGAGGGGCATTTGAAAAGTTCTGAGAACTGATTGATAAAATATTAACCGTTAAACGGAAATTACTGAGTTTGATATCATTGGACAGATCACAAAAATATACACATATTGTGACGTCCCTTTGTAAATTTTATTTAAGGAATAATTGTCTAATTTTTTGGATCCATGATGTGATCAATCGAGTGGCTTGCGTGATAATTTGCATAAACGCCGAAGGCGTTTATGCATAAAATTATCACGCAAGCCAATCGATTGATCATCGTCATGAATCAAAAAAATCTGACAGTTATTCCTTATATTTACATGCTCCTGATTCTGCAAATTCCCGTGCTGATAGCCCCGCTTCTGTCTCTATTTGTCCCGCCCCGCACGTGATTTTTTTTAAACCGCGCCTATCGATGAACCAGTAGATTTATGTAGAAATAAAGTATTTTTACAATTTGTAATTTTATCTCGGACAAAGACATTGGAAATGTAAATATTACGTAATAACTCCGAAAATGTCGTCAGAATCTTGAATGTCTAGCATACTGACCATAGAAATGACGTAACAAGAGACACAATTTCAGTGAAGTAAAATTTTAAAGTCAACATTTGTTCATTACTCGAAAGCACGCTAACGGACACAACTACCAGTTGGTAAAATGTTAACATAGACTACAGTCTATCATATGGAGGTTAAATTCAGGAGCTCCTATAGTACTGAGGTGGTTTAAGAGTGTGTCAAACGTAGCATGATATTGTGGTAGTGTAAGATACATGGAATCCTACTAGCTTGGGCTAGTGGGTTAACCCTTTAGCTCAATTGGTAGAGCACTGGACTGGCAAGCCAGAGGCCCCAGGTTCAATCCCCAGCAGAGGCACATTAATGTTTCTGTTACAATATTATCGAATCTCGCGCAAAATATTGGGTAAAAAAGACGCTGCTGTGAGAAAAATACAAAGTTTAAAACCACAGGATCATATAGAATAGTGGAAGGTGTTGCAGAATTTGCTGGCATTAATTCGTCAAGTATTTTAACCAATTATGCGGGAACGATTAAAGCTCAAGAGAGGTTAAGTTAAAGATGTCCCATATTTTCTCGTAAAAACCAAAATGGCGCCGGTGTAAAGACGAATAATGACCCCCATAGAATAATGACCGGGGGGTCATATTTCAACGACAAGAAATGACCCCCCAGCCGTAGAAAAAAATATTTTTTTGTAGAAAAAGAGACCTAGGGGTCATCTTTTTATGCGTGTGTCCTATAAAAAAAAAATGACCCCCGTTGAAAAATTTCCAACAGAGTGGATGATACAAAATTTATAACGGGTGATTGATGCCAAGGTTTGAACCTCAATGTTTGATATTCTTCTTTATGCCCTTTTTTGACCAATCGCAAAATGGTCGCTATTGGTTATAACTGGCTGCTATTGGTTATAACTGTTAACGTAATTTCCCTTTATGACTGTCTTCCATTTGATTCATATTTGGATATTTGACTGATTATAGACATTCATAGCTAAATAACAGACAAGCGGGATGTTCTGGCTTTTCATTGGTAAACATGTCTCCCAAAGTAATCAGCATGCTTTGAGTGGGATTTTTTAAAAAATGAAGGGAAAAAAAAGAATGAGATAAGTTTTCAGAAATAAATACGGAAAGTTATGCAATGTAATATATATGTATATTTTGAATGACATAAAAAGTCGTGCAAATGAGGTAGAATGTATCGAAAATGACGTAATAACTCGTGCAAACGACATACTGTGGATATATGTATTTCTTAATGAAAAAATTGTGAAGATAACGAACAGTGATGATTTTAAAATATCCACAAGCAGTACAATTTTGTTAACAGGGCATAAAAAAGCCCCCCCCCCCCCCAAAAAAAAAAAAAATTGCAGAGGTGGGATCAGGTGCCTAGAAAGAGTAAGCATCACCTGTTGTCCCTTCACACCCGCCGTGAGCGCTATGAATAAATCAGGTAAACGGGACAACCCTTTGTCGAATTTAGTATAAAAACAAGGGCCAATTAACAATTGACTCAGTTGTAGGTTATATTTGTTGACAGGGTTATTGATACCACCATTGAATCTACGAAATGCTGACTTTAAACGAGGTTGTTGAAACCCCTGTAACATCAACTAACATGTATCTGTCAGTAGCCTGCCTTCATTTAAAAATTAATCGTGCTCTTGGATATCAAATAAGTTTGTAGACGTAAACATTATATGCAAATGATTGCAGAATATTAATTCATAAATAAGGAAAATTGACAACAGAAAAGGCTGAAGTCATCCCGTTTGTCAGGCAATTTAGTTGTTAGTTGGTCTTTATCGTCTGTAGTCAGTAGAACGTCCAAATATAAAGCAGACGTGACAAACATAAGAAGGACATAAAATTTCTTTTATTCAATTTTATTTATAAACAGTGGTCTACTCTATGGGAATTTCTTTTCAAGTACATAGAAGTAATACGTACAGGAGAATCCCAGTAAAATGTACATTCAAGTCTGTTAACATGGTCGTCTGAGAATAGGATACATACATATAAGAGGAATATTTTTCAATCCACTTTAAAACAGTGATACATTTGTCAAATCAATATGGAAACATTTTCAATACAGTGTATATTGAAGTAGATTAATGTTTTCAATTTATAAAATTTAAAGACAGACTATTTTATTGACTTTCAAGGTGAATACGTGTAGAAGGATTTATTTTTCCTACATTGAACTAAAAATAGATTGAAAACAATTCTGAAAAGTTATTTCACCTGCATCTGAAATCTACTCAAGTGAACATAATATTCAGGCACAAAGAATCGGAGAAGAGGGAGGGATTGTTTTGTGAATGTAAATTTTAGCTATTCTAATTTGAAAATGTTCATTGAAAGTCTTTTAAACACCCCCTCTTTCCTATACAATATAGTTAAAAAATCTCTCACTTGAGTGGACAAGATGAACATAATATTGAGGCACATAGAATCAGGGAGGGGGTGTCCACCCACTTCCATTTCCAAGAACATATTTTTTTTCGCTTGAAAATGGTCATTGCAAGTCTGGTTGTCCTACCCCCAACGTTTTGATACATTAGAGTAAAAGAAAATCCCACTTACACCAATAAACTTTTTGAGGGGTTCATCAAAGATATTTTTAACTTAAAGTATTTTTTTGCCTCTTATAATGCGCCATTTCCCCTTTCGATGCTATGCCTGACATTTATTTTTTCTACATTACACCAAAACTAGATTTCAAATGCAAAATTAATACTGGTTATGCTTATGTTAACTCCTATTCTTTCACTGTGTTTGGTTAGGACTTGAGCAAATGCAAACAAGAAACTTGACATGTCTCCTTAATCAGTTTGTATCAATTTAATCGTTGAATCATATAATGAAACAATTATTGCTGTTTTTTCTGTCAGGACGATCAGTGATTTTCCACCATCAAAAAACAATGCTCTCCTCGCCCTTTGGACTCGATAAATCTTTAACTCCACTAGATTCTGAATCATTGAATTGACCTTAAAAACAGAAATGGTTGTATAATGTAATGAGATCAATATATCATCGATTTATTCTCAATGTAGCCCAAGTGAGCATTTTGGCCAACAGGTCTCTTGATTTATTATTTTTATCTTGCCCCCTAAAAGTTTCAACTTTAATCCGCTTTAATTCACAAGGGGTCATTATTCTACGGGGGTCATTTTTCTTCACGTGGGGTATGCAGGTTTTTAGGGTGATGACACTTTTTCTACGGGCAAAAGGGTCATTTTTCGACGTCGAATAATGACCGGGGGTCATTTTTCGCCGTTGAATAATGACCGGGAGTCATTATTCGACGTCGAAAAATGACCCACGGTCATTATTCTATGGGGGTCATTATTCGTCTTTACACCGGCGTTGTTTTAACCCCACCGTAACTCGATATGTGCGAAAATTTTCAATCATGGAAAATAAAACAGATTGTACATGGTAATGAAACTCAGGTTTATTTTTTTGAGTCGAAAGTCAAAAGTAATAGTGAGTTTTGGATTGCCGAGGTTGAAATAATATGAAAAAAAATACGCACAGAAACTTATCCCGGGGAAGACTTTTGTACGTCTTATTCGTAAACAGTAAGAGTCCTGACACTCAAGATACATTTGTGGAACACTGCATTGTTACACTTCAGTTTTATGTAGAATATGTTTTATTTAATATAGTGGAGAGCTTTATAATAGACCGAAAATTCAGCTATACCATATAAATAAAAATCTGTAATAAACGTCTACGATAACATTACCGTGCTTACTAACTAAACAAAAAATTAAAATGTGGAATTGCTGATTTGCTGATTTACCGTACCAATCTTATAGTCTTACTCTACGTCCATGCAAATTTTCTTTGCAATATCTTTTCAAAGAAGCCTTTGCCAGCACTTTTTCGATGTTCTCATGTGAACAAAAAACGCGACTTTTCAGTATGCTAAACATTCGAGATTCTGGCGTCATTTTTGGAGTTATTACGTCATGAATATAAGAAAATGACGTTCATATAAGTGCAAATTTTCCAGCTCTTTTCATTGGTATCAAACTTATTAACTTCTGTGAAATGGTTAATATTTTAGCAAGCAGTTCTCAGAACTTTTCAAATGCCCCTCGTACATCTTTTTATGTCGTACGTACGATTTATAGTGTATCATCTCCTTATTAGATTTATGTCGCACTTGTGTATCTACGACGTGTGATTGTCGTTTGTAGGACTTATTATCTCGCATTTACGACTTATGTGCCGTTCGTACAACTTTGTCCCTCGTACGTACGACAAAGACTCTCGTAATAACGACTTATTATCTCGTATGTACGACTTAGTATCTTGTTTATAGGACTTAGTATCTCGTTTGTATGACTTAATTATAATTACGACATAGAAAATATATTAATTTGGCAGCAATACCCTTCCATAAAGTACAACCCGAAATCAAAATAAACTTGAAGTCAATCAATATTAAGATTATTGAAAAGATCATAATAATATCGTACTTATCTTGTAATTATCTTCGTTTTCGTTCAAATAAGACGTATATCTATTCCTAACCAGGAAGTATGAAAGCCGCCGATAATACACATCCTGTATCAGTGTATGGTATTTGGTATTTGCCATATGCATAAGCACTGAAGCAAGGAATCTCCGATTTTGTAGTGCGAAAGAACAATGAGCAATGTAAAACTGGGTCGATTTAAAGGTTCGCTGGATGATACTGCGTAAATGGCGAGTTAAATTTGAAGAAAAAAATACCCGCTGTAATATCTAAGAATAAATGCTATCACAAACACATACCAGAGTGACGGTACACGTAAATAAAAAGAAATTCGGGAAGTGGGGCAAAGTTTTTTTAAGCCATCTCAAAGTGATAAGCCATCTGTGACGGTGCACATGTCTGTGTTTGAAAATTGTTGCATAGTTTTATATAATCAATTATAACTTTCGATATTTTTTTCTTCATTATTTTATTTTTAATAACTAAATTATAGGAAAGTTTTATTTGAAAGTTATAAGAATTTCTAGAATAGGTAAATTTTTAATAATTAAGTGTGCCCTCTAAATATATGTAAATTACCTTTGTTCAGAACAACGTATACACATAATTTCCCTTTATTTCTTGTCCATTAATACGTTACAATTTATCTAAGAACAGTAGATTCCTAAAATACAGGCAATTACCAAATGGTATAGTGAATTTGTAATATAAAATTTTGCCTGTCTATCTATTAATCTGTCAATATGTAGGTATTTGAGTTAATGTATTGTCAGTTCAAGATTAACTCATAACAATAGATGCCAGAAAAACTGAGAAACTCTACGGCAAGTTGAATCAAAAAACGTTAAAAGGGACACTTTGCATGCGAGGCTCATTTAGGGAAATCAATTAAATTCTGATAATGACAACATGCAGTAATTAAATATAGATATACCCCTCGAGTGACCTCTCTAAGGACAGATTCGAGTTAAAGTTTATTCTCCTGTCTCCCTCCCGTCACTTACGCTTAAGGTCATGCAGTACTGAAATGTTTTACTTAAAATTTCATATTCAAAAAGAATCTTTAGCATTCTCATTAAGAATTGAGTTTTGATTTAAATCAACATTTTGAATTATTAATCGTGAATAAAGTTAGGTTTAAACATATTTATTGCTTAATAACTAAGGGACCATGCGGAAAGGGCGATCTATGGGTTGCGGAAAGGGCAAAAAATACCATATAAACGAAAACAAAAAATATAATTATGACTGTTAATTTCAATATAAGTATATTGAGAGAGACAGTTTATTAGGTCACCTGAGTCACTTAGGTTATTGCTATCTGTTTTTGTCTGGAACACCTGAACCAATTTCAACCAATTTTGGCATAATGCAACTATGGGCGAAGGGGAACAAAATCTATTATATTCATCCCCACGAGGGGAGGGGGAAGGGGTCAAAACCATCAAAATTAATGCAATCTTTAAAAATGTCCTTTACTTCTGGACACCAAGCAGTCAAACTGTTAGCATGATTGTAATAGGTAATTATGCTTCTATCCCATTACCAAGACTTCCGGTTTTAGGGCAAAGCTCTATTAATCACAAAGTGAAATGCATAACTTCTTTAAGAATCTCTGCCCCTGCAAATAAACTAAATGCATTGTTATGATGAGCAAGGGTAACTGTAACTCCTCCAAAATTGTGAAATTCATGTCCCCTGAGTTAAGGACGGAATTCATTTGATTATTTCGTAAAAATGCATGAATTCTTTGAAAATCTTCTCTGTCCCTGAGTATTAAGCGAAGAAACTAAGTGCATGGTTATGATGAGCAAGGGTACCTCTTCCATAATTGTAATTTCATGGCCCCTGGATCAGGGGGTTTGGTGTTAGTGATGGGGCTCTATTGATTATATAGTTATATAGTAAAAATGAATGCTTTCTTTGAAAATCTTCTTTTCTTCTGGGTTTTTAACAGATAAACTTAGTCTTCCAAAGTTGTGAAACATCGCCCCTGAGTCAGGAAATCCGGTGTAAGGATAGGGTTCTATTGATCATATAATATTAGTGAAACTGTATAAATTCTTTAAATATCTTCTCTCCCCTGTTTATTTAGCAGAACTGGTATTTTTGTGTTATGTCATAGTAAACATTCCCCGCCTCCTTTTTGTACCCTTAACTGTGCTGCGAAGAGCATGGTTTTGATATGCTAGGGTGCCTCTTCCAAAATTGTGAAACTCTTGCCCCCTTTATCAGGGATTCATGTGTTAGGGTAGGATTCTATTTATCATAAAGTAAAAATGAAATATTTTTTTGAAAATCTTTTCTGATTCTGGACACTAAGGAGGTACAAAGAGTAAAATTTTGTTGTGAGCAAGGGTGTGTTTACCACATTTGTGAAATTTTGGACCACTGAGTGTTCTGTTGCTGGGCAGAGCTCTATTGATCTCTCAAGGAAATTTATACTCTGCTGAGAGCTTTTTTCCCCTTTGATATTCACCTATGATAATTAATCACTGTAAATAAAGTTATTGATAGATAGATTTAAAAAAAAAGAAAGAATTATACATGAATTTTTAATGTATAATACAAGAAGTACTCTCATAGTTTTCAATGGTCAGATAGTCTTATCTTTTATAATAAAAATGAATCTTTAAAAATATATAATAAATACCTTATCTTTTTACATAACATGTATATGTTCTTAAAAGAACAAGAGAGGCCAATGTGAGAAAGAATGTAGTGTGTTTACTAGATGAGCTTAATCACTATAATTGTTTTGTTTTGTCTGCATGGTGGTAGATACACATGGGAGTGTATCAGCACTGGCAAGTATTATGGTTTGCAATATTCGGCAAACCTTAAAAGTTTTAAATATGACCGTCATTGTTTAATGGCGGATCACTGTGTATTGTTTCGCTATCATTATCAGTTTAAATTACTTGGTTATTAAATATAAAGATTTTATAATTTGTATCTTACTATTAATCAATTATATTTAAAATTTGGACGTGTAAATTAATCAATCTTTATATTGTTGTAATATATTGTTACTAACACTTACGCTCGAGACACGAGATGGTTAACAACATTAAACCTCAACTTTGTTTTATTTTAAGGTCAAAAAGAATCAATCCAACGGATCAAAGATATTATTGTCACAAAGCGTAAGGCGAGCACTTCCAGAAATAATTTCCAGGCGCCAAAATCCGCGGTAATTGACCTCTAAAACAGTTTTCAGTAATATTCCTTGCATATTTTTTTATATGATTCATTATCAAACACTTTCTTTGATAATAACTTGGAATGTCCTCATATAATGTTATTTACCATATGATATTTTTTTATTTATTTTGTTTTTAATTGATAAGATCTTTTAGCTATTTAAACTAATTTAGTTTTAAAAAGTGTCTGTGTGTCAAGATGGAAAAAAGACCCCGTAGAATGATGACCGTTCATTCTTTCTAATGATCTGTGGTCATTATACTAAAGGGGTTATATTCGTATTTACACTGGACTGCTTAGTATAATTACATTGAGAGAATATTTCAATTTACTTTTGTATACAAATGTACATATAAAGTACATCCACTGAATATATATATATATATATATATATATATATATATATATATATATATATATATATATATATATATATATATATATATATATATAGATATAGATATATAGATATATAGATATATATATATATATATATAAAATTCAAGATTGAATTCATTAGTGTATACTTCATGCATGTGTGTGTGGTTTGTATTCTTTTTATACGTTTAAAATATTGAACCTTCCCATTTTTATGCTTCATCTGATTTAAACTAATGCAAATCATTATTGAACATTTATAACTGCGAACAAACGTCTGACATTTCAGACGTATTAAAACAAAGCTGTATTTTGTAATTGATGTTGCACGAAAACTCGTACATTGGGGGTGTTTTTTTTGTGGGGGATAACTTTTGTATATAGAGGATGACTGGGGGATAGAATAGTTTAATTTTCATACCTTTCCTTTATAAGAAGAAATCCTGCTTACAGACACTCAGTCAGGATATATTATGAAGGTTGATGTTTTGTAGGATAATAAATAAGGGCCCAGTTTCAAAATCAAACTGTATATGTTAAAACTTTACATTTTCTTTTTTAATTTAATTCAATCACGACATCAAACTATTTTTCATGGGTATTGGATACTAATTCACAACTTTTTTGATAGTTATAACACATTATTCGATTAATTGCCTTCAAAAATACTTATTATAAGACCATTGATAATGCTGATAAATCACAAGCAAAGACGTTGCTTCCCCAGAGATAAAGAGGTTTATCATTGAATCTTAGAAAAGTCGAGTATCCAAAAACAGATGTTTCAGTATTTTAAGAAAAAGGGAATCGGTGTAGTTTTCACAGTAGAGGTTCTAGAGTTATTCCTCTTTGTAATTTTATGTTTTGGTCAAAATACATGAATGTTTCTATTCCTTGTTACAGCCTGAATGCTTCATGTAATTAAGTGAATTTAGGCACTGAGTATTTGTACGAGGGGTTATCAAAAAATTCGTAGACAGTCCCGATAAAATTAGAACTGTGAGTACAAAACTTATGAGGAACATAAAACAACAAAAGTTTAAGAAAATTTGAAAATTCTAGCTGGATACGTTAATGATTTGCCAATGTGTCGTTAAATACAAAAGACATATGATCACCCGCAACTGCCGCTGTTGGTATTTTATGACGTTCGACATCGTCTTTACTTCTCCATGTTCAATCCCTCTATCTCAATACACTTTTCATGACGAGATACCCTGGTGTTGAATACTGACTTAACAGCTTGTTTATATGACTTTACATGTATACTTCATGTACGGCTGATATGCAAAGTATAAGGATTCTCTCTTGGCTTAAGTAGCCAAATTCGCTTGTCGGAGTTTAATTTCTACCGCACAAGAGCAACATACTCTTTGATGAGTCTGACTTTGGACACCCGGACCAAAATCAGCATTAAATGCTTCTTTCCTCTCTCTGAATCTAGCTTTTGTTCCATTTAAAAAACAGGTAATCTGAACTTATGTTGTCTTTTCGGCCTGTTTGAGCATTTCCATAGTCTGCGAGTTTTTCCTTAGTGAAACTATAAAATTCGTTTAGAGTTTAATGTAATAAGTCATTTCACCCTAAGTTGCAAGAACTGCCTCTGACTTTTTTCCCGAATTTATTTTATTTTATTTATTTATTTTATTCATTTATTTATTTATTTTTTTATTATCTAATAAGATCTTGGTGTCATTATGAAGTGTCTTAGAGAAGTCTGATTAATGATCATGATTCTTTCACATTCCACAACTAAAGTGCATTTGGGAAATCGGGGAAATTTACTCTGTAGGTAATATGATTTGCAATTTAAAATTCAGCTTTATATGACACGTTTACATTTACAAAAATATGGTTTAATAATGCATGCATTGTCTAAGTCTTGCGAGAAATGGAAATGATTTTTTTGTCATCAATCTCTTTGTTTATTTAATATGCACATTTTACCTAATTGAAGAATTTTTCATGAATTTCAGTTGCAATAATAATCTCAAAATCAATTTGTGCATTCACATATAAAAGACATGTAAAATTTTATTATCATTATTATTATAAGCGCAAAAATGATGTTAATCAGTAACATATATAAATATTACAAAAAGGACCTTTCCATAAAACAAATTTAATTTAAAAGAAACGTAAAGATATCCGGCAAAGAAAGTTTTCTTTTTTCTTAAATTTTGTTTCATCATAAACATGGTAAACTGCATGTCTTGAGTTTATATGCTTTTTTAATTTAAACAAAATTTAAAGATGTAAAATTTAGAATTTTGTTCAAAGTTCTTTTGTGCCTTCAAGCATGCATGATATAATCTATCAAGGTTTTGAAAGTAATTCTCATTGGAAAATGATTTAACACAGTCACCCTAAATTTAGATTGACTAATATAAATCATCAATGCATTTCATTGATTAGAACGATTTATAACAGTTAATTATAAGTTCATTTAATTGGTACATATAACTTATACATAAACGTATCAAAGGAAGACCAATCAATCTAATCCAATCATAACTGAAAAGCAATAAAAATCATGTACATGATTTTGTCACCTGTTGCATCTTTTTTATCTCCTGATACCTCATTAGATATGCAAATTTATTCATGAATGGCTATTAAGTAAGTCATGGAGTATTCACAATTTTGCATTTATAAAGGTCATATCCATATTAAATATCACTCTCATAATCTGCCTGACACTATCTAGAATAAGGATGAAGGTAAGCATTGCTATTTACATTATTTCAAAATGTTTCATGTCAAAATTTGTGAATTCAATTAAGTTAATTGTATGTCATTACTTGAATGTTGAGATGTTTGAATATTATAACTAAAGCAGAGCGAAATTTCATTACATTCGCTAAGTTTATTTGCATACATTCAATTTGGAGTATTATATTTGTGTTCAGTGACAATATTTGACTTTTTTTTTGCACAAGATTTATGATGAAACAAATTATAACTTGAAGTATTTTGATTTATAAAATGAAATATGTGGAGATAACGAACAGTATTCAAGCTCAAAAGTCCATTAAAACAAATAGGAGCAAAGCAAACACAGACTTCTAAGACATCAGAGGTGGGATCAGGTGCCATGGAGGAGTGAGTATCCCCTGCCGACCGGTCACATCCGCACTGTGCTCCTTGTCATGATCGGGAAATAATGGAAAAATCCGTCGACAATTCAGTGTGTAAATAATGGCCTAACAATTAGTATGAAAAAAGTCAGTCAGCATTTATAAAATTTATAAAATCAACATCTTTCACTTAAAGCTGCAACACTATTACATAAGCAGTCATTTAGCAATCATTAATACCAAGTATGAGACACTAGAAATATAGACAACAAAAGTGATTGATTTACATGTAGCTAATAAATTTACATGTATCAGATACTTGCTTTTAATACAAAAAAAATATCTTATTCTTGTAGATCCATTTGATATTTTTGGTGACCATCTTTGTTGCCTTTCCTCCAACAGAGTGCTTCGTGTGTGATAAAATGGCGTCCATTTGCAAAATTTCACTTATCGTAGAACATAAGATAACCATGTTACATCCAAAAGCAGGAAAAGTTATCCCGTACGGAGGTAAACTCTATCCATACGATATTGACTTGAAAACAGCAACTAAAGAAGACATAATTCCTAATGATGAGGTTATTATTGCAAACGGCATTCAGAAACCTTTAGTAGTTTTCAACGGGACTCTTCCAGGACCAGATATAATAGTTTATGAGGGACAAACCTTGTTTATCAAGGTTACAAATAAATTGCCGTCGGAAATTCTTGGCATACATTGGCATGGAATGCATCAAAGAAACACACCCTTTATGGATGGGGTACCATTTGTAACACAGTGCCCCATTCTTCCTGGACAATCATTTACATACAAATTTCAGGCATATCCGAAAGGAACATTTTGGTACTATTCCACTGCAGGATCTCAGAGAATTAATGGAGCGTTTGGGGCTTTAATTGTTCGCCCCAAATTAGAAGATGATCCTGAACATATCCTTCAAGTTCAAGACTGGTATGACGGGCAGCATGAAACAGATGTTTCACCTATGGCAAGTTCTCTGTATATTGACACATTTAATTCACCAAAAAAATCTACTGAAGGCACCTTCTCACCCGATAATGCTCTTATAAATGGCAGAGGAGGAGGAAAATCAATTCCATTCCACGTGTTTATAATTAGAGTCCATAAATCTGAGACATCTAATCCGTTCCGTACAATAAATGTTGGAGCAACTTTACCATTTCGAATTTCTATTGATGGTCACACATTAAGAATAATAGGATCGAATGGATACAGCATCAAGTCCCTATCTGTCGATTCCTTTATCATTTACCCTGGAGAGAGGATTGAGTTTACTGTAAAAAGAATAAACCCGGGGATACAAAACTTCTGGATAAGAGCTGAAGCTATAGAAACAGTTAATAAAGTTGAGGTGCGAGCTATATTAAGATACAAAGGGGCTCATGCAGTACACCCTAATACATCGAAAAAATTTTGCACATTGAAAGATTTATGTTTGGTGTTTAATTGTCCATTCAAACATTATCCAGAAGAGCGAAACACAAAATGTATAACAATTGATCAAGCAGATTCCAGAGAGCCGTCTATTTTTCCACAGTTAATAAGTAAACGTCACTTTAAAGAATACTTTTTAAACTTTAGATTTTCTGGAACAGCAGCAGCCTCTATAAATGGCAGACAGTTTCTGTTCCCACAAGGCGCAGCCCTGACACAACCAAATAGCATTACCAAACCCTGCACCAAAGCCCAGTGCAGTGAGGAAAAACTATGTCAGTGCACCAATTCTTTAAGCCTTTATCATAATGAAACAGTGCATTTGGTTCTAACAAATTTTGGTTTGGGGAACGGATTGGCGAATCCAATACATTTGCATGGACATTCTTTTGAGCTTTTGAAAATGGGATTTCCGGTTACTGACAAAACCAATGGGAATATCATTTCTCCGAATAAAGACATTAAATGTAAACGAAACATACAAATTTCCAAAGAAATGACCCTCTGTAGTGACGTAGTTTGGAGTGATTCATCCTGGCATAACGGCAATGCCCCGGGGCTTAACCTTAAGAATCCCCCTAACAAGGATACAGTCATTATTCCCAGTGGTGGATATGTGGTCATTAGGATTAGAGCTAACAATCCGGGTCTGTGGCTATTGCACAGCCTTGTTGACCATCAATTTCCTGGAAGCATGTCAATTCTGCTGAATGAATCTTTTCCATATATTACCGAACCTCCTATGAACTTTCCTAAGTGTGGCAATTTTTATGACATTCCTACTCCATTGCATTAAATTATTATAATGTTTTTGTAATGTCGGTCAACCTCCTAATTCAGTGTATTATATTCTTTTAATACTTTGTCGACTGCTGAGTAGTTTGTAATTTTGATGTTTGATATTTGTAAGCTAAACAAGATTTGAACAAAAAACAGGATAATCAATTCTTCTGTCAGTTATAATTGTTGATATTCATTTGATTGAAATGTTTGTGTATTAAAGGAAATTGACGAATGTAAGGCAAGTGTAATATTCCCCTTTTCTTAATCTTTAATTTCTGCTATCTTTTAATCACTACATTCGATTTTCATTTCTTTCTTCCGACGAGCAATCTTCAAGTAAAGTTCCTTTATTAATGAACCTTAACTGAATTCATAGAATGGAGCTTGAATATTAATCATATTATCGTGAGTGACGGTCGTAGCTTCGTTATTAATTGTGGTTGCACATTTAATAACACTTTTGAATTAAAATCTTTAATTAGAATAAATAAATCTACTCCTTAATGTATAATACAACAACAAAATGAACATGAAGGAACCACACAATAAAAGATAAATTATCCCCGCCATACTTCTCTGGACATTTAATATCATTGCACAAATTCTATTTGCGTACATACCATCAGATAATCCAAAGATGAAAATTTACAGAACTAAAATTACAGTGCAGTGCCAATCATGTTGATTCAGTTTTGCTGCATAAGAGTTTGCACTTTTAATGGAATAGCTAAACAGTAAGTATAAATTAAATATGCTTAAGAATTCTTTTGTTTGGTATTGTCTATTGTACAATGCTAGGCGTAGGAATATTTTTTAAATATCAAATTCTTAAAAAAATTACTCCAAAAAAGTCTGATCGAATAGGGCAACATGCCTATAAATGCCATTTACATATATATGACGAAATAATTTTCCCAAACTCTTCAAAACTGTTGTTTTTCTCAGTCTGTTAAATATCAACTTTAAACAATAACGGTTTCAAAACAGCAAATACAATGTTAATATATTTTTAAAATCTATTATAATCATTACTATATATATATATATATATATATATATATATATATATATATATATATATATATATATATATATATATATATATATATATATATATATATATATATATATATATATATATATATATATATATATATATATGCAGAAAAAACAAATATTTTCGAAACATTCCAAAAATCGATCAGAAATATTCAGACGTCCCCAAAATCATGTTAAAGTCCTTCTACCAACATTTAATGAATGCTCTCATAATGCAGCCAGTTTTCTGTTTAGGAGAATATATTTGCAATATGACGAGATTAAATATAATAAATGCATTCCATAAATAAAAGTGCAATCAATAAAATTATGATATAATCAAAGTTGATGCATAAATTTATCTGCAGTGACAAATTGATATGTGAAATTTATTCACATGTTAATTCGCCAATTTTTTTTAATCTTCGTAAGGTCTCGTATTTGGAATGATAAAATATGTTCGTTGGTGGTGTTCTTTATATAACTTCAAAACACTAGACCATGTTAAACATTTGCAATTAAATAAGGAATTCGTTTAAATTAAAATATTTAAATCTCATTATAACATATCTAGTTTTATAACAATGATGTATGGATTTCTAATACAAAGTTAACGAAACTTTATTGAAAGAATAAGTAAAAACTCGGACGTATTATTGCTCTACAAAAGAGGAAATACACACTTGAAGGTAAGAGCATTCCTCTAAAAACAAATTAATTATCTTTTTTTCAAATTCTAGAGCATCGAATTTAAATGATAATATTCAAATAAATTGGGGGAAAAAATGCTTTTCGAATATCTTTGTAAGGCAATTTTGAGTAAAACATTGTGAATCGATGAATTTTCAATGATAACAAAGAATTGATAAATATGAAAAACAGAATCTGCATCGTTATGTTCTGTATGCAAAAGGTCCTAGTATATATACAGTTCATATATCAAAATAAATTTGTAAGGAATGAAAGTAAGTTGTCAAATTGATGATGAATTACAATACTAAATTTTTCTATGAATTGTGACAAATCCATGAGTAATCATAATTTTCATTTAATTACTACATAATTAACTTTCAAGTTATGGTTCAACTCTTACATTTAAAGAATGGATGAATCCGCATTTCCCTCCTTTAAAATCAAAAATCAATCATGCAGGATTTTTTATGTCTTTATCAAATTTTATTTTACTTTTTGAGCATCCAGTAACTGAATTGTGGTCTAATCACACTTTCATTAAAGGATTAACAATGAACAGTATAATTATTATTATATATTTAGTAACTTGGTAGAAAGGAGACAGTTATTCTAGTACTACTGTCAAGTTAAACGATTTTAAATTAGATTCTTGGGAGCACTAATATTTGACATTTGCTAGAAACAGGAAAGAAAAATAAAGACAGGTAATCTCGAGGCATTTTAACTAAATGCAGATTTGAAAGTAAATTGGACTGCATACTAACCTATGTCTATCTGGAAATATGATCATCTCTTGGTCATGTAAGTTAAGCAATTTGTTAGACATGTACTTGTTTTTCTTTAACATTTTGTAATTTTAAATGTGTGTGGAAAAATTAATTCAGAAGAATTTTAAAAAGAACTTTATTTATAATAGTGTTCATATTGTGCTCCCTTATATTAACTATTTATAAATTCTGAAGAATATCGATAGATCTATGTTTTGCCTGCAAATTATGTCATATAACTTATGCTCCCGTGGAAAATACATTAATTCTACCTTTTCATTAAATAGCGTAAACTTGTTTCATTTTCGTATTTTTTCTTTCTTTTTAAAATAAAAACATATGACTTCTATTTAAAAAAACAAATAAGAAACAAGATGTGTTTGTGAAACACTGATGCCCCCGTATGGCAACTTATAGCAAAGGTTAAACTTTCTCAAATGCAAATCAAACATGTTGGTACCCAAAGTAAGGTCTTGTCTCGAGAAATATACCTGTGAAATATGAAAGCCCTAGCAGCAACCATTGAATAGAGATGGAAAAGGTTAAAGTTTTTCAAAAGTAAGTCAAACATCAAGGTCAAGGTTAAATGGTCAAAATTAATGGTACCTTAGGAAAGGCCTTCTCACAAGAAATATACAGGTGAAATATGAAAGCTGAAGCACCAATCCTTCAAAAGTTATGACCAAGGTTAAAGTGTTTCAAACGTAGGTCAAACTCCAAGGTCAAGGTCAATGGATTACAATTGTTGGTATCCAAAGGAATGACTTGTCACAAGGAAAAAACATGTCAAATATGAAAGCTCTAGCAACAACTTTACAAAAGTTGTGTCCGAGGTTAAAGTTTTCCAAAAGTAGGTCAAAGGGTCAAAGGATATCCAATGGAAGGTCTTGTCACAAGGATTACATATGTGAAATATGAAAGCCCTGTTAAAAAGTTATGGCCAAGGTAAAAGTTTTTAAAAAGTAGGTCAAACTTCAAGGTCAAGGTCAAAAGATCAAAGTTGTTGGTATCCAAAGGAAGATTTTATCACAAGAATTACACATGTGAAGTATGAAAGCCCTAGCACCAGCCGTTCAAAAGTTATGGCCAATGTTAAAGTTTTACAAACGTAGGTCAAACTCCAAGGTCAAAGGGTCAAAGTTTTTGGTATCCAAAGGAAGGTCTTGTCGCAAGGATTACCTATGCTAAGTATGAAAGCCTTAGCACCAACCGTTCAAAAGTTATGGCCAATGTTAAAAAAGTTTTTCAAAAGTAGTTCAAACTCCAAGGTCAAGGTCAAAAGGTCAAATATGGTGGTACCCAAAGAAAGGTATTGTCACAAGAAATACACATGTGAAGTATGAAAGCCCTAGCACCAATTGTTCAAAAGTTATGGCCAAGGTTAAAGTTGTGAAAAAATTGCAAAACTTGGTCAAACTCCAAGTTCAAGGTCAAAAGGTCAAATATGGTGGTACTCAAAGAAAGGTCTTGTCACAAGGAATACACATGTGAAATATGAAAGCCATAGCTCCAACCAATCAAAAGTTATGGGCAATGTTAAAGTTTTTGCGGACAGACAAACAATTAAACAGACAGACGGACGGACGAACGGACAGGGCAAAAACTATATACCCCCGAATCTTCGATACGGGAGCATAAAAATGAATTATGTACCTTTTTTCTATCTGATGATAATAAATTTACTTCAAAAGGAAATTTGTGTTTTCAAATATGTTATTAATTGTTATTATTTACTGAAAACTTAATTTCAGATGAAATTCGGAGATAACGAACAGTATTCCAGCTCAACTTCAATTTAAACAATACAGATTGGGAGCAGAGCAAACAGGGGCCTCCAAAAACATCAGAGGTGGGATCAGGTGCCATGGAGGAGTGAGCATCCCCTGCCGACCTGTCACACCCACCTTGTGCTCCTTGTCATGATCGGGAAAAACGGAAAAATATGTAGACAATTCATTGTGTAAATAATGGCCTAACAATTAGTATGAAAAACGTCAGTCACCATATGACCTAATGATAGGTTGTATTTGCTGACAAGGTCATTGTATCAACCATAAAATTTGCGAAATGATGACTTCAAACGAGACTGTTGCTATATTTTTAAGGGATGGCAACGATTAATCGACTAATCGATCGGAAAAATTTTTACAACCTGTTAATCGACACTTTTTACTGTATATGCGGTTTTTATTTTTTTTTTTTTTCCTTCAAAATTAAAATTCATAGGAAGTGTTTTTAAATTTGAAATGTGACAACTAACCAATTAAATGATACACAAGACACACAGCCATCAAAACAAGTCCCCATAATTTAAACTCATTAAATCCCCAAATACTAATCAGATTTTAATTACCTTGAATAAAACATTCTACCTGTTTTTGTTCCGCGTTAAAAATCAACATATTTAACTCAGCAATGTTTACATGGTAATTGTTTCTAAATTATTGTGAATCTTTGGCATATTTCAAGAGAGAGAGAAGGGATAGCAAAATTTTATACAAAAGAGTTACATAGAAAATTATGTAACTAGGCATAGATACCTTTACAAGTTAAATTTGAATACAAAAAGATGATTAATACATGTAAATCTCTAATTTAATGCTCTTGGTCTTCTTGACAAACAAGTACTTCTACAACGGAAAAGATCATATTGGATGTAAATGGGAAGATATCAAAATGTAATCAATCTCATAAATCCATAAACAAAATGAATTGTGAACAGGACAAAAACACGGACCCCAGGGAACACCAGAGGTGGGATTAGATGCCTATGAGGAGTAAGCATCCCCTGTCAACCCGTCACACCTGCCATGAGCCATATGTATTGATTAGGTGTACTCCGTAGTCAAATTTAGTATAAAAGCAATGACCCAAAAAATGGTATCAAACATGTTAAAAAAATACGACCCAAAGCTAGGTTATATTTGCAAACAAGGTTATTGTTATAACGACCGTAGAATTTGCAAAAAGCTGACTTTAAACGGGGTTGTCGAAATCCTTGTAACATCAACTTATCTGTTAGTACATGTAGCTTGCCTCGGTTTAAAAATTGATCGTACTCAGAACATGCTTTTGCCTATCGAATCAGTTTGGAGACATAAACACCATATACAGATGATGTGCAGGTGATAAGGGAAGTTGACGATGGAAAAGCTGAAGTCATCTTGTTTGTAATTCAGTTTTGTTATTAGCTGGACTATTTGACTATTATCGTCTATAGTCAGTAAAACATCCAAATATTAAACAGATGTGACAGACTCTGTATTGTCTTTAATACCCTTAGATATATCGAGTCGACATATGAACGAAAGTAACTATTGTTAATTGTTAATTGATAAAACGTCGTCTATCTAAATGTCAGGTAGTGAAGCTATGTTCCTATATACCTTCTTACAGCTATTTTTGGTGAAACTTTCTGAACATATTCCCTATTCTGTATTTCAAACATTTTGAACATTTCTTTCGCTTTCGGTTACTCTACAATTACAGTGTACAGATTTTGCAAACCAAAGGTGAAAAATGATGTATTTAGGTAATATGAATATATCCCCTTCAATATCGTGTTCCTGCCAAATGATATGTATTTTAATATATTACTAGAAATTTTATGTGTGCTGGCGGCAAAAATTTTCTTTTAATTTTATTTTTGATTTTTCAGATGGCTCATATTTGCATTATCTGTTTTTACATTTTGTGGACTTTACCATTCAATTTGGTTTTTGGATATATTTGTGACCAGAATGCTGGAGAATGTGAAACAACTCTTATTATTGAAAATTACTTAACAATGATACATGAAAGACTATCGGCAGTATTCCCTGCTAACGGAAAAATTTACCGATATAACGTGAAAAATATAACGTCCGCTTCACCAGTTCCGTCCGATGAAGTTATAACAGCTGACGGTTGGGAGAAACCCCGAGTGGTTACAGTCGCCAATCGAACACTCCCTGGTCCTGATATTATTGTGTATGAAGGTCAAACAGTGATTGTACATGTTATTAACAAGATGCATTCTGATTCAGTGACCATACATTGGCATGGACTCCATCAACGGAACACACCGTATATGGACGGTGTACCCTTCATTACACAATGTCCAATTCTACCTGGACAAAAGTTCACATACAAATTTCAAGCGTATCCACGTGGATCGTTCTGGTATCACTCTCATTCTGGATCACAGAGATCGAATGGATTGGCAGGTGCTTTCATTGTGAGAAAGAGAGAGCAAAATCCTATTGAGGAACATATTCTACAAGTAATGGAATGGAACCATGATTCTGACTCAGTAAAACAAAACATACTACATGAACACAAAGTCATCGAGAATAGAATGTGGCGTCCATCATCCAGGTCACATGATGGAATGATTTTTAGTCGTATGGTTTTCCATTCTGCTTTAATAAATGGTAAAGGGAGGTATTATTCGGATGATGAAACAAAGAATCACAATGGTGCACCATTGGAAGTATTTCATGTAAAGAAAGGATTCAAGTATCGGTTTCGTGTTTTAGCAACAGGTGCCAATTTTCCGTTCAGAATATCAGTTGATGGTCATTATTTGACTGTCATAGAATCAGACGGTTATCCCATTCAACCGATGGTTGTGGAATCTTTTATAATTAATCCAGGAGAAAGATTTGATTTTTACCTCGAGGCAATTCGTTCAATTGGTAATTATTGGGTACGTGGAAAAACTCTCGAGAGTAATCGACACACAATTGCAGAAGCCATTTTGAGGTATGAAGGTGCTGATAAAGTCGAACCACACTCTGAGAGAGGTGTATGTTCTGAATATGATCCTTGTCGTGTGCTAAACTGTCCGTTCTCTTCTTTTGGGTTTGTCAAAGGAATAGAATGCATTCCATTTGATTACCTTAAGTCTAGCACTGATGACGACCCAGCACCTCCATATATTCCAGGAAGGTTTCAAGAACACTTTTTGAATTTTGGATTTTTTGGAATATACCCATCTGTGAGTGGAACAGAATTCGAAATGCCGTCAGTGTCAGCCTTAACACAACCACAGGAGATAAACACATTATGTGAAGGAAGATGCCAAGATGGACAAATTTGTAAATGCACACAGTCTCTGCACGTCCGGAATGGGGATACTGTGCAACTTGTGCTTTCACACATGGGCATGGGCTCCGGATGGTTTCATCCTATACATATGCATGGACATTCATTTCATGTTGTTAAGATGGGATACGGAACATTCGATAAAAACTATGCATTTCTCCTTAATCAAAACAGAGATATTGACTGTAGCGGTGGCAAAAACCTTGAAAATGAATATAGTTATTGTTATAATGCAACATGGAGGGACAAGACATGGTTGAACGGAAACATACCTGGTCTGGAGTTGAACAACCCTCCACGAAAAGACACCATTATTGTTCCAGATGGAGGCTACGCGGTGATAAGGTTTAAAGCGAACAATCCGGGACTCTGGTTCATACATTGTCACATAGAGATTCATTCGCTACAGGGAATGGCTTTGGTACTCAATGAATCTTTTCCTTTTATTCCAAGAGCTCCCAAACAATTTCCTGAATGTAGGAATTTTGATGCCACCGGTGTTTATTTACACTAAAAACAATAACTTTATTTCATTTTTTTTCAAGAATATTGGAGAACTTTTGCTCCTTTATTTAAGTTTATTTTGACGGAAAGATAAATTGACAAGTTTTGGAAAGTGTTTTTAAACATATTTTTTCTCATCACGTTCTCTTTCAATGTAGATCTGACAGGGGTATCATTATTTGTATTGTAATCGTTATGTCATTACACATTATATTATCCATTAAACACTGTTTTGAAATCAATACATGTCAATATATAGCACATGCGTAAAGGAAGGTGTATACCGGTATGCATTCTGAATGTGAAAAACACAGTTATAATAATTTTTTTTTCAATTTGGGGGGGGGGGGTCTAAGTTTGAACTTCAATATGAATATGACGTTATGAATGTGTAACTTTTCAATCGAAGATTGTGCATCGTTTGTATCTTTTACGTATGAAACATTTTTCGCCTACTTTATCAACCAAAGCAATGGGAGATTAAAAAAAAATTACTTCTATGGCTTATTGACATTAAAGACGTTTTAGTGATGTTCTAGTCCTTGGAAGTGAAAATTTAATAAGAATACTTACTCCTCCTAGATAAATGATCCCACTTCTGTTGTTTCAAAGGGTTCGCGTTTTTGCTCCTTTCGAAATAAAAATTCTTAATAGGAATTGTGGTATTGCTTACTGTTCGTTATCTTCATCCTCTTCATTTATCTTGATGCTTCAATTGATCAGTGTTTGGTTCGATTTTAATGATAAAATTACGTATAAAAAACGGAAGGAAATTATAATTGAATATTTGTATTTTTCAAACATGTCTCAGATTTTTAATTAATCTGAATATTTGCTTTTTTCGTTTAAGAATTCTATATGTGTCTCCTTCCTATCAAAAATATTCAGTAAAGTAACTTTAGTTTACTATCAAGGAAAACTACGGTAAAAACGTTAATATTTTCAGTAACTTTAAAATTTTATCTTTAATGATAGAGGGCAATAACTTCTCTTGAATTTTCAGCAATGGATGTAAATATGAATCTGAAGGAATAGTGCTTTATAAATAAAGCAATTGCGATATACAGTAATTATTTTGTGTGTGTCTGAATGGGGTTCCTTGATAATGTCATGTCCATACATGTTATATTTATATATTTTATAAATGGAAATTAAAAAAATATGATAAAATAAGTAAGTAAAGCCATGTAAAAAAAAGTGCAATTAAAAATTTAAAAAAATAATTTTTTATTACACAAAGTTCCTGTGCTGTTCATCTAATGAAAATTGAAAGATTTCATTTATATAATAAGAATAAGCTTATGTATTCCAATTCTAATTTTGTGCCATTGAAATTTTTAGAAATTTGTTTAAACTAAAGTCACAACACATGTTAAATAAACAGTACCATTTCGGACAGACAGAAGAATAGGAAACAGGCGCACTTAAATTCAACATTCTTTATCCTTTCTGTATGATCTAAGTGACAACATTTATACATTTGAAAAAAAAATTAGAGAGTTGGTGGAACCTTTAAAAGGTAATGCGAATATGACCCACCATGCTTTTTTTTTTAATTTAATATAAATTGTATCGAAGAGCCAAAGAAATGCTCTTTGCAGAAAAAGTCCACTGATATGCGAAGCGTCAATGTAAAACGAATTTAAACGACGAAAACTAAATAATAAACGATATTGTATCATCAGCCTAGTTGACGTGACTTAATTTCATTATGTGATAATAATATTCATTTAGCAAAAAATTATTCATAAGATATTGTAATTATAACGATTATTGTACATGTATATGCATGTGGAAAGAACAACATTCACATATATGTAAAGCACTAAGAAATCAAAGTCGGTGTGCCTTGGCGAAATGAGTCAAGTCATTGAATTAATTTATAAGACATATTTTGGTCATGGTCTTTATGTTCTATATATTTTTCAACTGTGTATTTGTATTAAATAAGCCGTGTTCAGAGAACACTAGCTGAAGTTCCCAAAAATTGGACAATTTAAAATGTGAGATATATAGTCTATACCACTTAGATATCTTCGCTTGTTATGCCCCCGTATCGAAGATTCGGGGTATATAGTTTTTGCCTTGTCCGTCCGTCTGTCTATCTGTCTGTTTGTCCGCAAGAACTTTAACATTGACCATAACTTTTTAGTACTTGAAGCTATGGCTTTCATATTTCTCATGTGTATTCATTTTGACAAGACCTTTCTTTGGGCACCATTATATTTGACCTCTTGACATTGACCTTGGAGTTTGACCCAGTTTTGCAAAGTTTTACCGAACTTTAACCTTGGCAATAACTTTTGTACAGTTGGTGCTAGGGCTTTCAAACTTCACATGTGTAATCCATGTGACAAGACCTTCCTTCGTATACCAAAACCTTTGACCCTTTGACCTTGACCTTGGAGTTTGACCTACTTTTGGAAAACTTTAACCTTGGCCATAACTTTAGAACAGTTGGTGTGAGGGCTTCGATATTAAACATGTCTTTTCCTTGTGACAAAACCTTCCGTTGGATACCAACAATTGTAATCTATTAACCTGGACATTGGAGATTGATCTACTTTTGAAAAACTTTAACCTTGGCCATCACTTTTAAACTATTGTTGTTCGACTTTTATATTTTTAAGTGTATTTCTTATGAGAAGGCCTTTCCTTGGGCACCATTAATTTTGACCCTTTAACCTTGACCTTGATGTTTGACTTATTTTTGAAAAACTTTAAACTTTTCACATCTATTCAATGGTTGCTATTAGGGCTTCCGTATTTCACAAGTATATTCCCCGAGAACAAGACCTTACTTTGGGTACTAACATATTTGATGTGCATTTGAGAAAGTTTAACCTTTGCTATAAGTTGCCATACGGGGGCATCAGTGTTTCACAAACACATCTTGTTTAACTTGTACTGTATCTTGAAACCTGAAATTTTTTGATGTACAGTATTGTTTTCAAAAGGAGATTCAATACATCATGTTTCAAATTCTTTGTTATTTCGAAATGTCATAAAACTAACACATGAAAAAATATTAAGAAGCAAACCCGTATATACAATCGAAATGCCCTGAATTTTTGTACCTTTAATTTAATTTCCAACCAGCAAATGATGTGAATCCATACACGTTGCTATAGATATTACCGTTGTTATTAATCATTTTTGTCCTAAGAAAAACATCGTCCTGTTCATTGGTCAGAATGACGATTGTGCTTCCGCCCTGATCGTCGTCATTGATTTCGGTGTGTTGATAAACCGCCCCTTCCTCTTTTCCATTGACAACCAGTTCTACACTGTGATGACTATTATCAGTTACCCTCACAGACCATGTTAAAACGTAAAGACCTGTACTTGGAACAATGAAGGTACCGGTACTTTGATGGAAGGCGTTTCCAAAGAAGATGGGCGAACAAGGCGAGCGCAATGCCTATAGTGCGACAAACATGAAGGTGAAAATTAAATTTCAATTATAACAAAATTTTATTTGATATTTCATCTAACATTAAAGTATGTTTTATGTAAAATCTCCACAATTTGCAAAAATCTCTCAAAGCTTGAAATTATTTGCTTATGAAATAGCATACACACCCTAAAGAGGGCAAAAAGTATCATTTTCTCATATTATAACACAAATTTTCGATGTGAGTGGGTCTTCGCTCCATATTTTTCAAAGTTTATTCTCAAAGTTTGCGTAAAAATATACATTTTTTGGTTAACAAAAACATAGAGCAAAGACCCACTCTACCTTTAAAATACACTTTTATGACACAACATTCGCATCTTTCCTAGAAATACTTGAAGTCCATTTAGTCAAGGGTCATATCGCAAACATGATTTAAATGCCACCATTCATCAAGAGCTGTGTAGCGTAGTGGTTAGCGTGTTAGTCTCAAAAGAAAATGATACTCAGGATTTTTATTGCAAGGGTTCGAACCCCACGAATACCACATTATTTTTTTTTTTAATAACAGAGCAATTTTTGCCGAGAAAATTTTTCTCAGAAAAATTTTGTTTATCATAACATCATAAATTTCAATGATGAGAACTTTACTCTAAATATTATATTCACAAATTGATTTTGATTTTTATGTATCTGAAGCTATAGGCATTCTGCACGCCTTGTTCACCCATCTCCTTTGTTATGACGACGTCAAAGACCAGCTGGTGGTGTCCACCGATGTTAGTCATGGCTGACAACATGTAGGCGTAAAATGCCACTGGCCCGTCATTGGATGTTGGAGGTGTGATCCGCCCTGTACGAATAAATACAAAACATTTCTTAATGATCTATTAGCCTAATGCTTTAAAAAATCGTGGATTTTTTTTTTTTACTGATGAAAGCTTTATGGATTTCTTGAAAGTCACAAGAGTTTAACAATAGGATTGAAATCATAAAACGCATATATATATATATATATATATATATATATATATATATATATATATATATATATATATATATATATATATATATATATATATATATATATATATATATATATATATATATTAGGAATGGCAATCGATTACAGAATTGCTAATCGGTTAACCGCAAGACGTTCCGACCGATTAACCGGTTAATCGTATCAAAATGCACGTTGTTTTTTGTTTTTGTTTTTTTTTTTTTTTGGTTTTTTTTTTTTTTTTTTTTTTTTTTGGACAATTAATTGTTTTTCAAGTAGCCCTGTCCATATGTACACAAATAGACCCAAATAAGACGATAGAAGTTAAAACATTCCATTAGTCTTGATTCTGGATTAGAAGACTACGGGTACATATTTTTTATTTAAATTCCAGTAGACAAGAACAAATTGAGAAATCCATGAAAAAAGCCTAAGAAATTTTTGATAATTTTCCAGAGCAGATGTCACAAAAGTTCTTTCTGCATTTTCACTATGATAATCAAAACTACATGTGAACTCTATAGCCCTTAATTAACAATGTTTTTTTTTTAATAATTGGATTGGATGGAAAACTGAAAAACGACAAACACGCCAATTCACAGTACTCAATGATTCAATTATTATCATTTAAGAAGTAAAACAAATTCGGGGTAACGACATAGTGTTTTCACAGTAATTAACACTACATAAACTGACCAATTACATGTACGCTACGGTCTCAGTCTGGAGATTCATAATTACATGTACGTCCAAATTAGATTCGTTAAATCCTAAATGATCATCCTTAGTGCAGAGATTTTTTTTCTAAGTAATTTTTTAAAAAATGTGTTCAATTCAACAATTTT